TCACTGGGATAGATTGTTCTAGTTCCACTTGCAATGTTTAATGGATGTCAGTTATCAGTTATCTCCTGTTAATTTACCTCTGAAAGTTCTCATATGTTTTTACCAGAGCTCATATTGCAATTTTTGTTGTTATTATCGCTTTTCTCTGGCACTCCTTATTACTTGTTCTTATATTGCATTCATTTCTATGCTTAGTCGGCTCAGGAGATTTTTGTGGCCCAGCATATGTGCTGATTCCTTAAGTTTACGAATTTTCCAATGGTGTTCCTTGTCTATGATCTCAACCTGATCTCTTCATATGCGGTCAGCCACGCCTGATTTTTCCACTTCCCCTCGTGTTACAGCTTTCTGGTGTTTTTGAAGCCTTACCTTAAGGGGGCGGCCTGTCTCCCATTTATATTTCTTTCCGCAGCTGCACGGGATAGCGTACACACAGTCTTTAGTCATGTTCTTCTCTATGGGGGGGGGTCTTACTCGGGAGAGATATCTGCGAAGTGTCGTCAAGCATTTGAAGGTTGTCCTGATGTTATATGGACCACAGATCCTTTGTATTTTCTCTGATAACCCCTTCACATAAGGCAGTAAGACTATTTTCTTGCTGTCCTCCTCTTGTTCCAGCCTATCCCAGTTTTTGGGGTCTGCTGCCATGTACCAAGGGTAGTTATTACGTTGTAGGGTACTACTTATACTGACCAATTCTTTATCTAATGTCTCTTTTTTGCTTTTTTATGACTTTTTGCTCGGTGTTGTATTCAGCAGCAGATGATCCCTTTCTTTACGCTGTATGGATGGTGGGAGTTGAAATTGAGGTACTGTCCGGTTAAGTATTATTTTTCAACCACCTGAAGAAAAAAGGGGCATACAACGGCCGAAACGTTGTAATAAATATGGAGGCAAAGATGAGGACAATAGTCCGAATAATGTGTGAACAAAATAATAGATAATCTATATATATATATATATATATATATATATATATATATATATATATATATATATATATACACACGACGGTGTACTGAAAAGTTCTACAGAACGACCAACCAAGCCCACCCCCATTAAATTCTAAAATTCAGGGCGAAATCTTTTTCAAAATATAGCTTCAGTATATGTTTTTATGCACATATCTTTATCCATGTATACACCTACACACATACATGCACAGTGAGCATAGAAAGATTCCAGTAATCTTGTGGAATGTGGGTCATTTCAAATGAGACAAAATCTTGAAGAAAAAACAACGTAAAAAAAGAATGGATATCCTTTGATGCTTGGCGTGGGATTAGTAATAAAACTTATATGCATTGATATAAAAGTACACATGAAAATAATACAGGTTTCCATCGAAAAAATGTTACTTAAATATACGTTCGAGTCACCCACTCTCTAAAAAATGCCGGGAACTTTTGCACATTCTTTTGTTTGAATGTATATGGGATGCACATGAATCTAAATATCATGTATTCTCTCTGATAAGATAAATCCCATCTGAAACCAATACTTGGCAACTAAAAAGTAACATGTTTTCTGAATATTGTGTAACCATTTATATTTACTCACCTTAATTTGTTACAAACTGTAGCAAAGGCCACAAATCATTCAGAAAACATTTAAAATGTATTGTAATGACACAAGTAAATTCTTTTAAGTTTTAGTTTTTCTTTCAGTAGTAAGAAGATAAAATAAAGTATGTTGTAAAAGAATAATAGTAACTTTTCTGTACATAAAGCAGGTGTCTGATAGTAATGTCAAGTTTTGTCATTCAAAATAACGAAAGAAAAGATAAAACTCTTTAATTAAAAATATTCCAAAAATAAAACAGTCTTTTTAAAAAATAGTATTCAATGAAAATGAGTTAATTTAATGATCATTAAAATGTTCTTTTTTTTTTTTTTTTTTGAAAAAATATGAATTTTTACTTAAAATTACTGACACATAATTTGTTTACAGTGCATTTGAAATTCCGTTTAAATGCGTGAGAGTTTATGTGGGTGGCCCAAAATAAGAAAACTCATATTACCCACAATTCGCAAATTCAAGTACCATTACATAACGTATTGGTCACATCTTTTAATTTATTTTACATCTCGAAGTGTTAGGAAGATTAACAAAAAAAAAAAAAACTATTTGAAATAAATAAAAAGTTCGTTACTTATAATTTTATTTCATAGAAAAGAAAAAATATAATTTGAATTTATTGTATAAATATAAATTTTAAAGTTTATAAATGCTGACGATTGCTTATACTAGCGTTCTTATTAATTCCTTCAAGTTCTATCTCCATGAGATTTAAAAAAAAAAGAGCATAGCATGATGAAAAAGACGCCAAACTTGACGAAAACAAAATTTTATCGTCTAAATGTTTGTTGTTATTAAGAGGAAAGACCAAAGGTTTTTTTTAATTAATTTTAAAAAATTTTCCTTCTTTTTAGAACATTCTAAATTTTGATTAAAAAAAAAAAACCTTGTTTCTCTTTGTATCACTGGAACTAGTAAAATAACATATACAATTTTTAGCACGTTTTTTTTTTTTTTTTTTTTTGTATGACACACATTAATTTGGAAAAAAATCTTGGAAAAATAAAAATAATTGTCTGATGTTAATGAAACTTTCAGAAACTATTCACAGATGATCGAAAATTATAAATAATATGTTTTTTAAATTAAAGTCATGGCAGAAATATTTTTTTTTATATTTATTACCCCCCCCCATAACTAATTTTATAAAAACTCTAGAAATTCGATCGAGTCGGGTTTAGTGATTACAATAGTTAAAAGCACAAGGCTTTGAGGAATGCAAATCATGTTTTTTTTTTTTTAATTGGACCCCCCCCTACCTGAAAATCAGCTCTGAATTGTAACATACAAAACTCAATAAAACAAAGATATTATTTAATTTCAAATGCTTTTTTTTTTTTTTTGTTTTTATGAATATGGACAATATTTTTTGAAAGCAAAACTTTTTTCGATGAAAAATGAATTTTTAATACAATTATTTGTTATTTTTTAATTATAATAGATTTTTACATTTAAGTTGTTAAAATATTATAAAATGTTAAAAAAGCCGCATCGGGTTTCTTAAGTCTCCTTATAAGATAGAGCTTTTTTTAGCGAGTTGTAAATTGTATCATTTTGACTAATCAGAAGATCCACAGTAATTAAGAAATGTAATTTTGTGTTTATAATCGGGCTGTAATTATAAAGTACGGAAGACCAACCAGAATACAATTAAGTTGCGTTATTTGAGTTAAGCATTGTTTTCCGCTGTTAAGGCCTTTACTTTTGCGAAACACGTGTGGAGAAGTTAATTTGATTTTTCAATTTCAACTGAGAAGGGTACCTACAAGTATCAGTATCATCTTATGAAATTTATATGATCTTATTTTTATATTAATCTCAGTTATGACATTTTTCCATAAAGGAAATATCAAAATTAATAATAAAATAAATGGAAATACAAGAAACAGTAAAATGTAATAAATGTACATAAAATTATAGTATTTTATGTACACTTCTGACAAAATTTCATAAGAAAGGTACCTATAAATTAATTAGATACCTTTCTTATGAAATTTAATCTCACTCTTAACAGTCTTATCTTAATTTCTTTATAATATATTTTCCATAAATCATCGTAAACGTAAAGGTGAAAGCTAAGTACAAAAAAAAAAAAAAAATTAGAGTGCTGACAGTTTTCCTTAAAAATAACGAGGTAAGTCCACTTAAATCTAAATAATTTCACTTTTCTCTTTCCGTAGAACAAATTGTCCGCACGTAATCCGTCAATATGTCATTCATCACCTGTCAAGTGACGCGAAAGTTTTATTTTCAAATTACATCTTTTCGGCGCAGAAGCTAAGTTAAGCTTGGTTCAAAATATTTTAAATCAAAATTATAATTTCTGATTTTCTTAAAATAAGTTTCGAAAAAATTAAAATTGATTTTTAAAAGAATTTCAATCTGAGATTTTCATTTTTTTTATAAAATGGAGAAAATGGTTGCCATGATCGATTATCTGCAAATTTTGCTGACTCAAAAAAAAAAAAAAAAAAACAAGATTTTTAACGAAAATTTCGGACGTGCTAGGAACGATTAAAAAATGTAAAAAAATACTCCCAAAATACTTTGATTTTTTTTTCTTAATAATAACATAAACATTGAGACGATAAAATTTTGTTTTCGTAAAGTTTGGCATCTTTTTCATTATGCTATGCTCTATTTTTAGCGATCTCGTGGAGGTACCTATAAGTCAAAATAAACAAACGTAAAACCTAAATCTGAATGACCAAGACAATGAAAATGAAGATACTAGTCTAAATAATGACTTAACTTAATCTCAGATCTTCAAACGCTACGAAGACGGATGAGTAGGTCGATCCCTAATGATAAAAAATATCTGTTATAAACTTGCACTGAGATGAATGTTACGGCTGACGTATTCCATCAACTATTCCAGCTTTATATTTGTTTTTATTACAATATTTCAGTAGATATGTGCCCCGATTTTGCTCATCTTATCCTGTTCTCCTTGAATATCAGTCAAATGTCTTCCTCGGGACAATTTGTGGATCCACGAATCAATGTCGCATGTACACTAGGGAAAATCCATGCACATTTTTTTTAACGGGAAACATGACTTGACCTCATTCTTTTTAAATTTCGCAACATTAAAACTGACACTGACAGACCATTATACGCGCGTATGAATGTAATGATAGCTCTAACTAGATAGATAGATAGACTGTTACTGCTTGAGGAGAAACAGTAAAAATGATGATGTCATCAAATTTGAAAATGTTCAATGATCGCCTGCAAACAAATCCGGTTTGTTATCAAAATATGATATTGAGCGATGCGTCAAGCCTTGGATTCAGGAGATAAAAAATTCATAATTATTCTCCATATTTTCTAGAACCATCAAAAATACAAATCGATTTTCTTAATTCTACTATGTTCAACCCAAACTTTCTTTCTGGTAAATTTTATTCAGTTTATTTTTTATGGTTTGTTCCTTTTTTTTAATTCTGATTCTTCTTTCTTTCTTTCTCTTTTTTTTTTTTTTTTTGAAAAAATCCCTCATTTTCTATTGCCTCTTCTTTCTTTCTCTTTTTTTTGCACTCCCTCGCTTTCTATTGCTTCTTCTTTCTTTCTTTTTTTTTGCACTCCCTCGCTTTCTATTGCCTCTTCTTTCTTTCTTTTTTTTTGCACTCCCTCGCTTTCTATTGCCTCTTCTTTCTTTCTCTTTCCTTCAAGAGTTTACTTTTTAATATAAATTTTATTTACATATTTCAGTACTTTTTTTCTCTCTTTTACTTTACTCCTTCGTTGTAAATCTAATTTTTATTTATTCATTCATTTATGCTTTCAATTCTGCTTGCAGGATATTTTTTCATTCTCTTTTAAACTGTCATTTAATTTTTCGTTTTGCTTACCATTTTTCATTCATTTAATTTCGTTTTTTCTTCCTTTCTTGTCAAATCAGTTTCTTTCATTAAGTAAAAGAAAAAAGGTACCTATTTTTCCATTTTCATTTTGCTTTTATTTAATTTTTTACGTGTTCGTTTTTCTTTTTATCACGTGTTTTTTTATTTATTGCTAGAATTTTTTTAAGCGATTTCTTTATTTTTACTTTTCGTTCATTCTCCCTCTCTCTTTCTCTGTTTCATTCTTTCTCCCTTTCTCTCTTATTCTTTTTCCTTCTCAAACAATGTATGTGTGTCCAATGTGTAGTTTATACACACGAACACACATACACAAACTCTCCCTCCCTCTCTCTCTCTTCCACTTTCATTCTTCTATCTTTATGTTTATCACTAATTCTCTCATTTATTTTCATTTGACCTTTTCACCTCAAAAGCTGCGTTCTTACCCTCGCCGTTATTCTTTTTCCGAAATCCGTTATTTGCAAATGGCCAAACTCGACATCGTGTACTTATCGCTATCAATACTACTATCTTACCAACTCTCTTTACTTCATAACTGTCAGGAGGTATAAGTCGCTTACCAAATGTCACTCTCTGTCATATATATATATATATATATATATATATATATATATATATATATATATATATATATATATGTGTGTGTGTGTCTTGTGTATGAATGTTATAACTAATAACTAATTGCAAAACATCCGCTTTTTAAAACGTTTGTGATTACGTATATATATATAATATTTTTTAAAAATATGATTCCTTCGCTACATAAAGTTCTCATGTAAAAAAAAACGAGAGCCGAAAACCTCAATATAATTATTAAAATTAAATTAAGTTAAAGTATCAAGCCCTGTTTCATCCTCAAGCGAAAACTCATTTAGGAATAACCAATCTTGAAATTTACGCATCTTTATAAGCATGTTCATTCAAAAAATTACTTTACTATGAGAAACGGCTGGGGCGACCATTTTGAAAAGGGGTCTAAGAGATAATTTTTTATCCACATATCAGTCACCTTCGGAAAGAGGTCAAGCTGAGATATGGTGGGGGCATTCATTTCAAAGCGAATAATGGCATTCATGTGCGCACATCGCCTGGTCAGTCACAGCGAAAGATTACTTTTGGTACCATAAAATGTCGTATAGTGCTTAGAGAATTTTGTTTTATTTTATTTATTTATTCATCTTTTTATTTATTTATTTTTCCTAAAGGGCTGTTTCGTACTTAAACGCGTCGCACTGAACTACAATTTGTTTTTTGACGACTTCATAAAGGGTTTTTCTATCTTGTGATTGGGTTAAACTTTTAAACCTTTTATTAGACTATGAAATTTAATTTGTTTTTATGTTATTTATTTAATGCGAAAATTTGTTGATGTCGGCAGAAAACCGTTTACTCATGTCTATGGTTTAATAAATTTTCATTATTTAGAAACTTAATAATGTGTAGTTTTTCATGTAGGCATGGGTCATCCCAGGTTTTACAAGTTCTTGTTCTATTTATTATTTTACTTTTGGTGTTTTATTCATTTCTTTTAAATGCCAAAAATATTTAGAGATGTCTGATTTCTATTTCTAATATTATTGAAGGAGCTTTTGTGTTGTCGCCATCTAATTTTAAATTCATTCTTCGTTGAACCAATATATATATATATATATATATATATATATATATATATATATTTGTATGTGTGTGTGCGTGTGTGTATCCTGTTGCATGCCTCAGCGCTTGTTTTATAGTTTATTGTTTTTATATGCTTTTGGCTTTATTTAACATTATAGTTCAATTACAAAAGACGTTGTCTTTAATTGCTTGAAAATTGCAACAGTGTCTTCCATGGATGGGTGTTTGTTCAGCAACATGCATATTCACGCGGGTAGACAACGACTTCAGAAAAACAATACTTAAACTTTAGAGATTTGAAATTCCAATGGATAACTTTTCTGATTATATATTGTAAAAGATTAAAGATAAATAAACTGCCCAAGTAGATGCAAAACTGAAAAAGAATAAGGAAACAGAAAATATCAGGACCTTACTCGGAAGCTATGAAATTGAAGGTATGCCCAAAACTCGGAGCGCTGGGAATACGTTTGTAAAATAGTTGGAAGAATTGGAGCCTATTCAAAGAATAATATTAAGGTGACTTGATGTCATTTAATTTCCAAGTAAGAACCCGAATGCGAGCTACATATTAGGGATGTTAGAATCAGGCAAGTACAGAAATTTAATTATCTGGGAAATGTTTTGGTATCACATTTTTTTTAACAGAAGACAGAAAATGTGATAGCGAAAGTTTAAGTTGCACTGGAATGACAAAAGATGATTATCTAATGCTAAACAAAGTATTAAGAGACAGGAAAAATATCGTTAGAAACGAATTGCTAAACTGCTATGTGTATCATTCCTCCCAGTGGATGCTGGACAATTCCTCCACAGATGAAGAAGAGAATTGGGATAATAGAGATGTTGTTCTACAGGAGAATGCTGAGAATACCATGGATGGAATATGTAAAAAATGAGGAAGTTTTAAGAAAACTGGAAACAAAAAAGGGGACTTAGAATTAAAAAGAGACAGTGGATATTTATGGGATACGTAATGAGAAAAAGGTCATTCTGAAAGCAAGAGGGGCAGAGGAACACAGTCAATAACTTACCTAAGGTGCTTGTATAAATTGGTGGGAGAATATTGATGAGAAACAAATATATCTAAGTGTACAGTGAATAAGTCATGATTAAACGTCCTGAACGTAATTTTAAACATAAATTTTTGAAACCTCCATAAGATCTTTATTGAAAATAATAATAATAAAGATAACGATGATCTGTTGGTGGAAAACGGGATCATTTCACAAATGTCTGCAAACAAATTAAATCTATATAAAGTTGTGGGCTCTGTCTAGTTGTTTGTTATCGAACTCCTCCTAGGGTTTTGGAGGTAGACCCCCATAACCATATATATTCTGAAGCTACATTACCTAGAGTATTTGGATTAGTATATTTCATTCTGATCAAAGGGGGTACCCCCGCCCACTGTTTTTCCCTTTGATTTAAATTAGATTTAAATTTGAACGAGAGAGAGACTCCCATCCAAAATATAGGAGAAATCCTGAAGATAGAGGTTACATGGGCAAGATCAAAATGAGACAATATGGACGTCAAGTTGAGCAAGAAATCACCAGTCAGTGGGTAGTGCCTTACAATAGATATTTGTTGTGACAATTCAACTGTTATATCAATGTTGCAATCTGCTTATCAATTCATTCAATCAAGTATTACATCAAATACATATCAAAGGAGTCAAATCAAACCGTTTTTGCACACCCCCACTGATTTTCCCCCTTGATTTTGATTTAAATTTGAACAAGGGAATGACTCCTATCCAAAATATAGAAAAGGTAAGCCAAAAGATGGAGGTCACATCGGCAAGATCATTGAGTAATATTGAAATGCATCATTTTTCTCCAAAATTTATAACAATGATTTAAAATCAATCATCATTTTCTTACAAAAAAGTATGATACACAGTAAGGCGCGGGTAATTCGGTTAGTTGTAAATAAAATTCCCTTTGCCTTTGTTTTTTTCCAATAAATGAAATAGTACAAAGATAGAATTTTACTCCACTATCTCTACCCTCCTACTGAATTCTCATTTCTTGTCGTTTTCCTTCTCTAGCTTCCTTTCTTTCATTTTTGTTCCCTTTATCTCTTTCACACTCTCACTCTTTCTCAGTTTATTTCACTCTCTCGCTTACTATCATTCCTCTTCGCTCTTGTCTCCCTCTCTCAATTTTTTCTCTAACTCACTTGTTCTTTTTTTCACTTACTCACTTCTACATTCTTCCTTACTTTTTCTACATTTTCCTTACTTTCTTTTCTCACTCTCCTCTTCACTTTTCCTCCGCTTCTCTATTTACTTCTTTCTCTCTTGCTTTTCGTATGTATACATAAAAAGAGATATTTTGCTGAGTGTACAATGTTCTAAAACATCGTGTATGAAAGCCTACATCAGTCAACAAAGATGTCGGACCTTGAAAATTTTAGGGACAATAAAATTACAATAATTTAATCCACATTATGTGTGAAAAAAAAAGAAAGTAGAATTTTATTTCGCCTGTTCTGCATGTTATTCCGACAGTGCACTCTTAATTTTATTGAATTCTGTTTTAAATTCTCCTTTAAAACATAATTTTTAATTTAATGATTTAAGTGGAAAATAAACTACTTCCTAAATTAAAGTTTTTATTTCATCACAGAAACCACATTCAGTAATATCTAAACTAAACCCATATGCAGCAGGGAGAGGTAGCCACTCACCATTGAGACAGTAATACATCACATCATCATCATCATCGCCATCGTCATTGTTATCTCATTTCTCACACCTTCCATGTTATAACTTGCCGATATCGCTTGGTCTGCAAATTGGAGAGGTTTTCTGACGGCCCCACCCACCTAGTTGGATATACTTCAGCTCGAGGCTTCAGCACTATGACTTTTTACTTTATTCTATTCATAGTTTTGAAATTTATAGTTGTCCTTTTTCATGACTGGTTGCCAATCGAGCCCAGTCTCTAGCTGAGGGAAATATAAAATAATCTGAAAAAAAAAATCCTACCTCGTGTTTAGAAGGTTAGACAACGAAAGATATGATGAAAGCGTAAAGTACGTAGGAATGACTAAAATATTAAGCAAAAAGAATATTATAAATCCGCCACTGAATATATAATGTATAAAAGTATGTCTGCACAGTTGAATGAATGGATTCAGTTGTCTATTCGGTTTGTGTATATCGGCAGCTGTGTAGATTTAAAAGAAGATAACGTGTTTGATGTATTCAAACGGACGTGGATTACTGGAAGTGAATAGTGATTTATTTTTGAAGTCTAGTAAAGTGATCCGGTCAGTAGTTAAGCCGACAGCTCCTGTACTTACGTACGCAGGAAAACATGTTAATATTGTGCACCTTTTATAACCATATTTCTGCTGCGTTCTCATCTACGACTGACAGTTTCTATGTGAACGTGACTGTAGAAAATATTGTCTAAACACATTGGTGCTTCTCTCAACTGAAAGAGGCTTGCGTACACACAATAGGCAGAGACGTTTATTCGACTTGATCATGATGCATGGCACCTTATGTTTGTGGGCAACTTTAATTGAATGCGTTCAAATTTTACATCCTTGTCATGCCAGCTAGTCTGAAGCTCTGGCCTGACACGAAGTCTGCTTTGAATAGAAGGCAATGTGAAACCTGACAAAAATTGATCTTTATTTGACGCTGACACTCGCACAGACGAAAAAGAGACGACGAAATTACAAATACTTTCTCGTCTTTCTTTGCCTTCTTTCTTTTCTCTCAATTCCACATTCTTTGGTCAAAAAGCGAGATAAAAGAAAGAAAGGGTGATAAATACAGATTTATCACCCTTTCTTTCTTTTATCTCGCTTTTTGACCAAAGAAAGGCTTCCGTGATTGTAACTGTCATTTTTAAAAAATAGATTTTGTTATTTCAATGGTTATCATCAAAAGCACAAAGCATTGTTTGAGTGAGAGATTCCATATTAATTACCTTCAGTAGTCTTAAAAAAAACTACGAAACCCTCCTCGAAAGGAGAATGTTTTGGGTTACTTGATTTATTATTAAAGATTGTGCAACTGCAAAAAATCAGCCACTCTTGTCGTCTGGTCGTGGTGTAAAGGTTAGCGATCTTGTCTGAAGATTAAATCGGTCCTAAGCTGAGTAACCTATCAAATCCTAACCATTATTATTATTTTTGCTTTTTTTGCTTTGAAAAAGATTTTTGTTTTTTTCGAGTTGTTTGGGTGCGAGTGTGAATGCATTCTCACGCGTATGTTAGCATTTTGAGATATTTTTGTTGAAAATAATTTTTAGCAAAATAAAAGAAAATATTTATTCTTCAGACAATGATCTTCAACTTTGCTGTTTTGATCATTTCGGTTTGTGCGCTCCTCAAATATTCTAGTATTGTCTGAAACCATGAAATAAAATACTTTTTTTTTTTTATTAGTATCTTTGCCTTAGCTATTTCTGCTCATGTTTTGACCGATCCTCCTTAGATATTCAGAGATTAGTTATTTTCAGGATTTCACGAATTTTTCACACCAACACATCGGCTGTTTTTTTTTGTTGTTGTTTTTCAGTTTTGTTTTCGTTGTTTCCAGAAATGCCTTGTCACAATATTCACGATAATCAAAATACGCTTCATCTTATAAAGAAAAGAAAAGTAGATACTAATTTTTTTTAAAAAATTACTAATTAAAAATTTCACAATTATTATAATTATCTCCGACAGCCCGTTAATTCATTTTAATTGTCTTCATTAATTAGGAACGTGTTTTCTAAGTGTATTTTAGAAATTTGATTATATTCAAAGGTTTAACGATAACCCTTCTTTTTTTTTTTGCCTAATTCAAAATCGAAATTACTAAAAACTAGCACAATCAAACCTCCCAAACTGGGGTCAAAATGCTATGAAAGTGTAAAAATAGGTTTTAATACCAGTAATACATTTTCAAAAAAGCAATATTACCGGCACTAAAAATCTTCTGGGCATTAAATAACCCATTGAAGTTGATATGCCGTAAAACAAAACGAACCATACCTAACCATAATATCATATATATAATATCAAATTGAATAAAAGAGCACCTTCTTTTGATGTCAATTCTTTTGAAATAATTAATGGTATCTGCGGTACCAGTTCACTGTAAAAGTCCAAGGCGTCGTTTAATTTGTTTGTTGACTCTATCCAGGATAACTTTGCTTATCCTTCTGATTTCTGGTCTGGTAGGGCTGATAATCCTTGTAGGTAGTTTGATCTGAAAGTCTAGTTTATGATCTTTAATCAGGACATACGATTCTTTGGTGCAGAGCTTACTAACCTTATTGCTAATTTTAAGTTTATCAGTTATATTTTTACAGGCAGTGTTAATTCTATCAGCTAAATTAATAGGGTTAATATTCAACTTCTTATAATTCATAACCAGAAAGTGATTTTTATTTATTTATTTGATTTACTTAAAAAAAAACAACAAACAGACAAACAAGACAGAACCCCAATGCGCCCCATATGTGGCAAATGCAGTTTAGTACAGACGCAAAAGATGCCTCTGAAGCTAATCCCTGAATATGATGGTTCAGACCGGGGTCTTATTATCGTTGAATGCTTTGGAAATGTTGAACTAGTCTGTGATCTGTGCAGCGTGAAGAACATTGCTAGCGTTCTGCCACTTCGATTGGCGGGAGAAGCGTTTGTTGTGTTCTAACAACTCAGCAAGGAAGAAAGAAAAGATGTCGGCTGTATCAGGAATGCCTTGTACGTTGCCTTTGCCACAGATCCATTCGTAGCATACGACCAGTTTGTAGCTAGGCGCGTGAATTCAAACGAATCTGTCGACGTCTATTTGGCAGACCTCCGCAAGCTGTCAACCTTGTATAAGGGGTGTCTGGCCGTAGACTTGCATGTGCATTTGCAGCAGGGTTGCCTAAGCACGTCAGGAAGCTGCTTCGCGCGTCCTCTCGAATAGATGCGCTGGATGCCAACCAATTTTTAGACCAGGCTAGAGCCATACTAAAAGATGATACACCGGCGGCGGAATTGATTGTGTAACCTTAAAGCCTGAGAACTGGATAGAGACTTGATGTGGGAGTGCTAATCACTTGACTAGATACTCAGTGGACGAACTAGGCAAAGTGGGAACCAGGGAGGAGACAAAGCAATACGGTGCTATTGATGTGACAAACTGGGCCATATATGACGGAAATGTCCGGGAAACGATATAAATGCGGCGCTGCCTGTAGTCAACGTATTAGTCGACGGGAAATGGTGTTCAGCTTTCACTGACTCTGGTGGCTCTCGGTCGATCGGTTATGGACAGAAAAGCACGTAGATGTAGAGAGGATCGATGGCAGAATGCAGGCGTGCTGTGGTGTTAGGACTGTTAATATCTGCAGAGACAGTAGCAACTGAGCCAAGGTTGATGTCCTTGTGGTGCGGGACAAACCTCTAGGCAGTTATCGCTTCTATATATCGCTTGAAGCGATATATAGAAGCGATAACTGCACTGAGTGGCATCCATATCACGCAGACTGGAGCCCTGCGCTAAATAAACACCAACATGTTCGGCGGTCCATATTGACCAACCTAACCTGCAAAGGAAATGGAGTGCAAAATGGAAGTGGACAACAGGTGTGACGCCGGCTCAGTTTAACAACCTGTTGTGCAACTGAGTTTCAAAGGACGTTATTGATGCCCATGAACAAGAAGTCCAGACTCCAATAGTTGACCATACCCCGAAAAGAAACTGGGGCCACTCAAAAGCTTAGCTTCCTTCGACACCATGAGTCCCTATCATATAATGGAAGTACATCAACGCAGTAGGCATCCAGGAGTACGACGTATTACGTATTTTGTGAGAATAGTTTGTTCTTCCGTGATAAAGGCCATGATAAAATCGGTCATTGGGACCTATGTGGAATGATCAACAATAGATCCTGCTCTAGTCCATTGGAAATTGGGGGTGAACAGTATTTGGTATTGGTTTGATATGGATACCACTCACTACCGCGACAATCATTATCTGACACTAACAGATTGTGGGCCATTACGATTTGTGTGTGTGTGGCGGACGTTACACCGGCAAGACTCATTGAGTATCATACGTCAGCTGGAGTTTGTGTTCTGTGAGAGAAGGCCACTACGTGAGATACTCACAGACAATGACACTGCGTTCCGTACCAGCAAATGCAGATCCCATTCATGGGATCTGCATTTGCAATTCCGATGCGCACATGTCTCGACAGGAAATGGAATAACGGAGCGGTGTCACAGAAGTGTCAAGAGAATTGCGGTCAGGATGAAATGTAGTTTTGAAGAGGTCACTTACCAAAGATGACAGCTCACTACTGACTG